TGAGAATTACACTAGAAAGTACGAAAAATATGACAATTACGCCAGAAAGTATGAAAAATGATGAGAATTACACCAGAAAGTACGAAAAATGGTGAGAATTACACCAGAAAGTACGAAAAATGGTGAGAATTACACCAGAAAGTACGAAAAATGGTGAGAATTACACTAGAAAGTACAAAGAATGGTAAGAATTACACCAGAAAGTACGAAAAATGGTGAGAATTACACCAGAAAGTACGAAAAATGGTGAGAATTACGCCAGAAAGTACGAAAAATGGTGAGAATTACACCAGAAAAAATGAAAAATGGTGAGAATTATATCAGAAAGTACGAAAAATGGTGAGAATTATGCCAGAAAGTATGAAAAATGGTGAGAATTACACCAGAAAGTATGATTATGGTGAGAATTACATCAGAAAGTATGAAAAATGGTGACAATTACACCAGAAAATACGAAAAATGATGAGAATTACACCAGAAAGTACGAAAAACGATGAGAATTACACCAGAAAGTACGAAAAATGATGAGAATTACACCAGAAAGTACGAAAAATGATGAGAATTACACCAGAAAGTATAAAAATGGTGAGAATTACGCCAGAAAGTATGAAAAATGGTGAGAATTACACTAAAAAGTACGAAAAATGGTGAGAATTACACTAGAAAGTACGAAAAATGGTGAGAATTACACCAGAAAGTATGAAAAATTGTGAGAATTACACCAGAAAGTATGAAAAATTGTGAGAATTACACCAGAAAGTATGAACAATTATGAGAATTACACTAGAAAGTACAAAAAAACAAGCAGCCAGTCGGCTGAGATAGCTCCGCTGTTGCAATGCACATTTCAATAAAAGAACAGAAGATATCAATAGAAAATTAACAATATATATAGTATCAAAGCAATGCGACTTGCTGTTTTCAACAAGAATTCAAAAATATCACTTTTTATGAAAAATGACAAAAATATTCACCAAAATTGAATTGAAGATATGATCATGAAATGAACAAATCTGAGAGAGGTCTACCCAAGGTACATATACACCAAATATCAAAGCATTCAGGCTTGTAGTTTTCAAGAAGAAGTCGAATAAGTAAAACATTGACACGGACGACAGACAATCACTCATATGATAAGCTCCGCTCGACAAAGTCGACAGCGTAGCTAACAATGGTCAGAATTACACCAGAAAGTATGAAAAATGGTCAGAATTACGCAAATAGTGAGAATTACGCCAGAAAGTATGAAAAATGGTGAGAATTACATCAGAAAGTACGAAAAATGGTGACAATTACACCAGAATAAACGAAAAATGGTGAGAATTACACCAGAAAGTACGAAAAATGGTGAGAATTATACCAGAAAGTACGAAAAATGGTGACAATTACACCAGGAAGTACGAACAAGCAGCCTCTTGGCTGAAATAGCTCCGCTGTTATCAATGCACATTTCAGTTAAAAAACAGAAGATATCATTAGAAAATGAACGATATGTATAGTATCAAAACAACAAGCAGCCTCTCGGCTGAGGTAGCTCCGCTGTTAGCAATGCACATGGCAATTAAAGAAAAGAAGATATCATTAAAAAATGAACAAATCTGGGAGAGGTCCACATGAAGTACCTATATATGTAATATCAAAGCAATTGGACTTGCGGTTTTTAACAAGAAGTTGAAAATATCACTTTTTACAAAAAATGACAAAATATTCACCAAAATTACAAAATTGAAGATATGATCAGGAAATGAACAAATCTGAGAGAGGTCTACCCAAGGTACATATACACCAAGTATCAAAGCATTCAGGCTTGTAGTTTTCAAGAAGAAGTCGAAAAAGTAAAACATTGACCTAAACGACGACGAACAATCACTCGTATGATAAGCTCCGCTCGACAAAGTCGCCAGCAGAGCTAAAAATGGTGAGAATTACACCAGAAAGTATGAAAAAG